GGGGTATAAATCCAATCTCTTCTTCTTCTTCTTCTTCTTCTTCTTCTTCTTCTTCTTCTTCTTCTTCTTCTTCTTCTTCTTCTTTTCTTCTTCTTCTTCTTCTTCTTCCTCCTCCTCCTCCTCCTCCATTAGCTGTCTTGAATCCATGGAAATAAGGCTGGATATAAGTATTTTATGAATGAATGAATGAATGAATATGTTTGTATACCATAAGCCAAGAAGCCACTGGAAACTTTAGTCACAGTCCTCAGAGGCAAAGACTATGAAGGGAGAGAGACAAGATAAGGCCCAAGGCAGGGGGGGGAGGCTTGAGGATTTTACACCCTGCAGGTCATCTTGACCTTAGGAATCTGGCTATACCCAACTCTATCTTGCCCTATCTCTGGAGCAATCAAGGAAGCCTCATTCTGTCAATTTGCATCCTCTAGATGTTGTACACGTGTGTATTTGACACCCCTTTGATGAGGGTCTATTTGAGCTGCTGCTTTCTGGGCCATGATGGGATTCTTTCTCTGAAGGTTCTCCCCGTGGCTGTAATTCTGTTCTGTTTTCTGAAACACACTTCGCAACTTGCATTTTTGTTTCAGTGACACTTCTTTTTCCACATCACCGGTTCCAAATGACATTCAGCTCTCCTAACACTGTCTCCAGTATCAGAAATTTTGGTATGAGTTGTACTTCACAATGGCTTGGAGCCTGTGTGAAAATCTCCACTGCTAGGAATGATTTCTCTCCTCAGAGCGGTGTTTCCTCACCTCTTCCCTGCCACTGCCCCCCAAAATGGCTCTTGAAAGGCTGCTGCTGGGAGGGGGGGGACAGGGAACCCCAACACGAGGGGGAGTCAGAGGTCTGCAGTAGGAAAGAGGAATTGGCAGCATCCCCCCTCCCTTTTGTAGGCTGAAATTTTCTATGGGGCCCAACCACATGTCCGTGTGTAAGATTCTGAACACTCTCTTTTAGCTATTTGACTGAAAGCTCAGTAGGTGAAGCCCCATGTAGCATTTTAATGATGCTTCCCATCAGTTCACGTCTTTAATTATATAAAAAGAAAGTGAATTATACATTGCTCGATTCTTTATTTGCAGCAGGGCTTTGTGCTGCCAAGTGCACATCGGCTTCTTGCATTTTTTATTCCTTCCTTTCCAGAGAGAGTCCTCCTGGGACTCGTGCTTCCCCCTTCCTCTGCCGAGCCCCAGCTTCTTAGAACTATTTGGGTTGCAGTGTGCCCCACTTAAGGCCATCCCTGGTGACAGTTGCGTTGAGTGCTCTTTCTCGCTTCAGTTCTCTGTGGGCCACAGCTCCACGCAGCTGTCGGGCACAATCTTAGCCAGCCAGTTGTCGGAATCGAGCGCCGGAGCCGGTGCCAAAGCTCTTTCATCTAAATTAGAGCTGTGATCACCATGAGGAGGGGACATGTTTAATCAGCTTAATGTGACTGCGAACTTATGTGCTGTTCATTTTATATATCAGTTACTGATATTGGATTGAGTAGCCCATTAGTTTCCCGTTCGTGTAAGCCTGGGGTGGGAGGGAAGAGGGGGAGTCGTTCTCCTTTCACTTACTTCCAGGCTCTGGTCACTCCATCAAACCTGTCAAATACATCAAGGCCTAGAATTAATTGCTCCTTTAAATGATCTATCGTGGCATCTTGCAAGCTTGAAGCTTGTTAAAACTTTAACCGGAGAATCACAGAGTTGCAAGGGAAGGTGGGATGGGGGAAGCCCTGGGCTGCTGGGGCTTCAGTCAGGGGGCAAGGGTTTACTCTAAGGTTGCCAGGTTTCCCCTGGCCACCAGTGTGGGTTGGGGGTAGGGTTGCCAGATCCAGGTTGGGAAACTCCAGAAGATTTGGGGGTGGAGCTTGGGAAGGACAGGGACCTCAGTGGCATAAAAGGGTTGGAACACTTTC